GGAGCAGGAGCCAACCTACCACTGTTGTCCACGACCACTGTGAACACACACCTCACCTCTGAGCTTGCTTTGATGAACAGCCACTGCATGTCCTATTCTGAAATAAATTGGGTAATGAGTAAAAACAAGAAAACCCAGCAGAGTCATTGATCGTCAGGCAGAGAAGCAGTCATGCTACTTTAAAAAGAGGCACGCTTTTCTAGTGTGTTGCCTCACACCACACAAAACCACCAGATATCTGGTAGTAGATCTACCAGGCAAGAGGGAACAATGTGTGCAGACCTGCACAACTAACACAGGTCAAGGCCCACATCTAACAGGACTGTGGGTGAAGCAATATTGACCTCTTCTGAGCTCAAAAGAGTTTCCTGTGAAAGAGTAAAAGTAAATTTCTTTGATTCCTCACACACGCAGTGCAATGAAGGCCATACCCTACAGCACAATGAAGAGAATTTAAATGTCGAAACAGCAGCTAGATAAACACACAGGACCTGATTTGGGAAGAATTAAAAGTAGAAGTTATTTTAGAAATGTTTTTCAGTTAAGTTTTAGTTTTACTTTTGTTTATGAAACGCTTTGAACATTGCATTAAAAGACACTTACAAAATGTTTTAAAAACTAAGGGCAAACAGCAACAAGCAGAGTGGTCCGAGCCAGTGCTCCAGGCACAGCCTGCAGCTGCTGGAGGCTACAGACCACCTTAGTTTCACGTCCTCCTGACTTAATCTCTTTTCTTAAGAGGGACACGTAGGTCTTTCTGATATTCAGGCTGGAAGAGGATGTAGGGAGTGCTAACTGGAGAAGCGTGCGCAGCGACATGCATACAGCCAGCTGGCTGCAGAGCCAACCTCTGTCTCCCTCTTCCTCCCTCAGCTCGGTGGCATCCGATGAAGCCGAATGGAGCAAAGTTTTCTGGAGAAGCTGTGAGCTGCAATTACGGTTTACAGAGGCGTCTAAACCATCTAGCGAAGCGTATTTGAAACAGAAAGTACTTTGGAATTGAATCCAAACCAATTATTATTACAACCACATTTTTAAAAAGAATTTAGTCATATCAAAATTAAACTTGTGGCCGACTGACGTGCTTTGCTTCTGTGAGTATGTACTAAGATTAAAATCAGAAGTTGGCTCATGTCTTGGGAAACAGAAGAGCCACTTCCCACGTGAGGGTTCAAACCACTGATCCTCCTTCTGAAGCAGCTACATTTTGCAACCAGCTCTGCCCCGGCACCTGCCTGCTCCCCGCTCCTCTCCTCCTCCTGCTTACCTGGCTCCGGCCCTTGCCAGACCTCTGCACCCGCCGGTTCAACTCACTGAGTTTGCGGGGCAGGGGAAAAAGAAAGTTTTCTCCTCAAACAGCCTTCACCAAAGGGCTCCAGCAAGCGCCGCTGCCAGCACAGGGGTGGGACGAGTGCTATGGGGCAGGAAGGGAGGGCTAAGGCGGAGCAGGGGAGGAGGAGGAGGAGCAAGCCTCCCCTTGTCAGCAGCACCCAAGCCTTCTTCACTGCTCCTGGGACCACACCTCTAGAAAGATGGGCCAGACAGAAAGGAACTTACCCCACACAGAAGGTAAGCGCCCTGCCCCAAAGATGAGGAGTACAATGGGAAGCGAAGGAACAGTATGTCCATCTTTTTTTTTAATTTTTTCTTTTTCTGTTTTTTTAATGGTTTCTTTCCCATTTAGCTCTCTAACCCTCCCAGATGAAAGTGTTTCTTCATGGAAGCTTGTTTAAAGCATATCCAAACTGCCATCCCCCACCTTTTTCTTTTTTTTTTTTTCTTAATCACAGAGATCTATTTACAAATTAGGGTTGATGTCAACAGTGTCAGCTAACCAGAAATGACAGCTTTTTTGGCAAAAACCCACTTGCTGGGGAAAATAAAAAACTACCCAACTCTGCAGCAACTCACATACTGCAATGGGTTTTCACACCTACTAATGCTTCCACCTCCTGCCTCAGCACTCTATACATATACCATTAACCCACATGGGGATGCCCTAAATATACAGTTTTCAATTCTCGTGCCTTCTCTGTTGTTTATTCCTCAAATATCCATGCCATCTTAAAATGAGGCATTTTTTGCCTCCACAGTTTTAAGAATTCCAATCCAATTCCCTCATTTTTTAATTCTACACAAATATTTGTTTAATTTCCTTAGCACTGGAGCTTGGAGCAAATTTAGTTGCTGTGTTATTTGGTTTTCCACATTTATGAGTGCATTTTTTAAAAGTATTTAATCTCACTTCTTTTCCAGGATAAGCTTATTACTAGCCAAGCAGCAAGCACATAGCATTGCCACGTGGAGATCAAATGATATGACCACAGCAGGTCCAAAATTCAGCTGCAAGGGTATAGAAACCTCTCGGAGAAAATGAATCACTCTTACAAAAATTCCCTGGGAATGATTTTTAGGAGTGGCAGAGTTAGTGGCTTTGGAGAAAGTCAATCACTTCCCTTCTGTACAGTAAAGGCTGCCAAAGTTTGCCACGAGGTATAACTGGGTATCCTCAACATCGCAGAATATGTAGGAAAAGGCATTCATCAGAGTTATGTTAAGCAGTTACAAAACTGTAAACAAATGTGGACAAACTATTACCACCCAAGTTATACAAAGCCAGTGATTTAAAGTAAATTCTGTTTTGCTTTCGCCTGGTGGTTGTCACCAAGCACCAGGCAGGGTATTACCGCGTGACACTGCTGAAAATTTCCATTTTCCAAGCACTTTGTTAATTTTAGTTCATTAATCCTCATAGTACTCTAGAAAGATAAATAGAGTTAGTTAATTTTTTAAAACAGGGAGGCGACAGCAGAAACATTAAGGTTTTTAACTCCAGGTATGTACCTTGAGCCAAATTGTGCTTGATTTTTGAAAGAGGTCCCTCTTCGCTGGCACTAACTGACTTTCAAAGGTGCTGCCTTGGAAGAACAGGCTCAACATGGACAAACAAATGTCAGAAATTATTTTTGAAAACTGTGGTCTTAACAGTGACTCACTCAACTCTACCAAAGGAGACAGAACAGTATTAAACACTGGATGTGAATTTAAGAGTCTCTGGCCTCCAAATCCCTGCTCGGATCATTAAATACCCCCTCTTCTTATCTAAAATCTTATTCAATTCCTGAGTGAGTAACAGGACACAGAACAGTTAAGCCCTTTATGATTATCTATTAATTCAAAGTAATGCCATTTTCTACTGTTTCCATTTGAACCCAATCAGGTGATCAGACACAAAGCACTGAATTTAATAAACATGAAAGTCCTTCTCACGAAGCTTAATTTAGAACTATTTGTTCCCTTTCAGAATAAAATAAATCTTCCTTAGCTGCTTTTAAGCAGAAAAGCAAATATACTATGTCCCTTTATCCACTAGTGCTTAGAGTATAATACATACTCCAGTAATTTCCTATTATAATGGAATATTTGCACAGGTTGCAAATTTATCCCGGAGGAATGAGGAATCTAGTGAATGGACACATACATTTATTATACTGAATACTCCAGGTAATGCTGGCCTATGATATCAAGGCAACAAGCTGAATGATAGCCCTGGCATAATTATGTAATTAATTAGCTCTATCATAATTTTTGTTTTATGACACTAACTTTTATGTGGCACTAGTCAATTTAATGGCATTTTAAATTGAAATAAGGCCCCTGAGAGAGATGCTACTTACTGTATCACAAATCTTGTATTCAGATTTCTTTTAATTTCAAAAGATGACCTAATAAAATTGCTTTATAATTAAATCCATTCTAACAACGTCTCCTATGTGATTCTTTTTCTTCTCCCATTTTTAATTATGTAAAAAATTACAATCAGAAAACACTCGCCACCGTAATTATATACAAAAATCAGTGATCCCTTTTTGTACCTCTTGCTGCTCTCCTCCCACAGCAGTGCACCCTGGCTAGCTTTCCTGCAGAATTTTACTAGCATCCCCCAGAGGTGCAGCAAGGAAACTGCACCGTTTACAACTCAAGAAACTAGATAAATTTGCTTCGATCTTGTTTGAAAAATAGTCAAGGCGTGGGAAGGAAGGGGAGCAAATCCCCACGTACTTTCTATTTCAGACAGGCATTTACAAGTATTCTGGTATCACAAGATGTATTTCTCACGTGAAGTAAGATCAGCTAAAGGAAGGGAAGGGTGACCTCAGCTCTCCTCCACCCAGTGTGGCAGTGCCCCTCTACGTGCCACCTCCTATTTCCAGCTGAAAAGGCAGCCCAGCAGTGAGCATTGGCACCTTCCCTGGGGCTGGGGGACCGTGGTGTCATCCAGGAGCAGTCCTTACCACGTAGGCTTTTGGCACCTTCCCTGCCTGGTGCTCCTCATATGGAAACCCATCAGGATCTCACCCTGACACACCACTGTTAGGATATGTCCTCCATTCGATGCTTAATACAGTGGTATTACATTGAGTAAGAAATACGAGCAGGTAGTAGCAAAACAATCCCTATGAAAGCTGTTTTCATAGGCTTTCTTCTACACAGTGAGCAGCTGTATCCACCGGGAACACGATAATACCATTGGGTGGGAGCAGGGCTAACTGCTTTCTGAGGTGATGATGATTATTGCGTTTAAGGTACCCTTAACGTATGTGGTACTTTACCATAGGTAAAGCATGGTAAAACGCAGAACAATACTTCTGCCTCTGAAAGCCATCACATCATTTCAACCACCGATGCCTGGGAAATGGAGGTATTGGAGGTACCCAAGATGACACAAAACAGTTAAGAGAGCACTTGATAATATGGATGGTGTGGCTAAACAGATTAAAAGAATATCATTTCCCTGCAGAAATGACCACATTCTGTTCCATTTCTACTTTCCAGAAAATAATAAAATACAGACAGATATGGAGCATAAGCGGAACTTAAACAATTTATATTTGAGTTTCTCACTGAGGCAAGCACAGAATTTTAAACATAATTGAGTTTTAAAAAACAGCGATATTGAAAGTGAGGTGAAAGTAATGGAATTATTGTCAACCTCTTACCATTTGCTGTGTTCTTTTTGAAGTTATCTAGAAACTCTTCCAGAAGCTGTGACTGGTTTGGAGGGGGCAACAAACTCTTTGGTTCCCTGGAAATGTCGCCATCTGACCAGGATGCACATAAGGGTTGCTGGGTCCCGTAATGGTTCATTCTCAGAGTGAGCATTACGTTTCTCTCCGAAAACAGCAACTCCATCTGCCTGAGGTCAAGATCAGACACAGCCTCTCCATTTATGCTAAGGATTTCATTGCCTACTCGGAGCCCTGGGAGCATGTGAAAGGAAAGAAGAAGGGAAGAAAAGAAAAAAAAAAAGAGGCAATATAAAACATAAAGGGTCACAAACCAAACCTTATGCTGATTCACCTTTTATTTTTGTGGTTTTAATTCTAACAGCCTAATCCTACCACAGGTCCATTAGAATCAATGGGAGCTTTATTCGTGCTATAATTATACAGATCGACCTCATGCTTACTTTGATAGGTGTTACGCATAGTACAGCAATCGAGTTGTTTCTTTCTAAAAATGCTACAGAATTTGGCGGGTGGGAGGGCAGCACAACTTTCAAGAAGATTAGAATAGAGGCACCTCTCACAACTCAGATACCGCCACTGTACAGCACCGTAACACATATTTCATTATCTGGGAAGAACAAGGCACTAGTCACACAGATCAAATCATTCATGCAAAACTGGAACAGCAGCGGATGGAGTCTTCATCAGCTTTTGTATAAATCTAAACAGTGGCAACTGCTGCCTTTCAAGGTCAGCAACAACCAAGTGGTCATCACGCTCAGGTAGCAAATGAAACTCACTGTCTCCATTTTTCTGGGTTTGTCTCTCCGTTTTTCAGAGAGCAGAACTCACGTGATCCTGCTGTGCCGATGAAGAGAAGCACGGCTTCTGAGCAGCACAGTAGAGAAGGCGCTCACAGAAACATGCAGAAAACTATTTTGGGGAGGGAGGCTACTTTCACTGCCAACAAAAGTGGAAGCGATGGGTCTTGGAGACTGACCAAGCCCATGAGGTTCCCCAGTGTGAGAGGAACTCTTTCTCCAGCCTGTTCCTCTGTGCAAAAGCACTTGTCGGATGGCTGAACGCAGACTTTGTCTCCAAGAGTGAACAAGAATTCTCCCCACTATATTGAAAGGATAATTCAGTTACTCTGTGTACATTATCTTTCCTAATCTCACACACTTTCCATAGTCTTCAGGAAAGAAAACTATGAATAGTAAAAGCCAAAAACCATTTCAGACAGCAGTACTAAAGCTCCTTCATGTTTTGGGACTTTAAAAAGATAATGAAGTACAGTATTAAACATAAATACGATACAATACCTTCCTTGTATGCCAGTCCATCAGGGAGAACATCACTTACAAATATACGGGTGAGATGCTGATTTTCATCAACTTGTGCTGTGACAGCAAAGCCTGAAGTAAAAGAGGTTTAAATCAAATAAACTTTCTCGGAAACATTTCCCTTTTATTTTGTGTATTTAGTAGACTCTACACAACCAGAGGAGGATTCTTCTCATGAGAACACACCCACAGAGCATACAGAAATTATCACATTGTTTCTCAATCATTGTAAGGCCTGTTAATGTTAATAGGACTTTTCAACTTCCAGAAATGTCATGTTGTGCTGTAAAAAAAACAAATTACATTTCAAAAAAACATTTTCTACCTCAGCCCCACATGACATTTCAATTACACAGCTCATCATTATAGTAAGAGTTCTGCAGATTTAAGAGGTGTCTTAAACAGATCCAAAAACTGGAAATCCCAACTATAAAGCAGCAAATCCATATAGACCAGTGAGTGAGACAGCCCAGAAAGGAGTAATTTATACCAACAGACTTGCAGCGACAGAGCTGCCTTACACAGGTATTTTTGCAAGGTATATAATTATTCCTAGTCATAACCGCCTCCCACGGATAAAAAGCCTGTCAGAATTGTATCAAAGGACGCTCTGTTGATACTGTGCCAACAGAGGATCCCACTGTCAAAAAAGAAAAGGGCAGACCTTGACCATGGCCTGACTGAGACCGACTGTATTAATCCTGGCAAAGGACATTTGTCTTCTGACAATTCCATGCTTGAATTATTTGGGCAGCAGAATTAGAAAGTGGACCCTTCCCAAACATAAGAAATGCGCTTGCCAGTGTAAAACAACCAGTTTGGGTCTTTGCTATAATGCCTCGAGTCCTTTGCAGACTCAGAGTTGGAGCTACCAAGGATGGCTCTACCTGCTCTCAGAGACAGAAAAATCCTGGAGAGAGAAAGTAAGCAATGAGAAAAATAAAAAGAAAAATTCCTCAGAGCTTACCAAAATCACTCATGTTTTCAGTCTTTGTAAGATGAATGTGATAAACATTTAACGGACAAATTTCTATTTCATCATACACCTGTTGGAAAAAAACAGTAACAGAAGCCATCAAATTATGAAATTGCAAGCATCAAAACCCAAAGGTACAGCACGAGAAATATGCACAATATTCTTTGCATCAATAAAGAGCCAAAACTTGCTGACTTTACACAGAGAACTGTGCTACTGTGCAAGCATCACCAGTATCAGCGGGACTAAATGCGGAGTAAGCTAAAGATAGAAAACCCAACCTGGAGTAGAGACTGACATTTTGCCTTTTGTACCAAAAGCCCCACTTAAATCTTCAAATGGTTCTTGAAGAGAGCGTTTACAGTGCCTAGCCACCCAAATATCTGCATAGGCATGGACTGCGTAAACGAGGATGGCAGAATGCAATCCAGAAACAGCTTTAAAGCCTTATTTTAGATCTAAAACACACATATTCGTAGGTGATAATTCAACTGTAGCTACAGACATCACGGAGCTTTATCTAAAAGGAGTCACACTTTCCTGGTCTACTATGTATTCGTATGGTTCAGGAGCACAATACTCAGTATTTTCATCAACCAGTCTTCTGAGTTGTAGGCCATAGTGTCTTGGCTCCAGCTGTTTCATCTGAGGAATAAAAAGAATGGGGTTTGGAATTTGTTATTTATTTCCAGAATCCCAGAAGACAAAGAAGTGACACACACACACAAAAAGCTCTTTAGAAATCATGCAAAAGCAATCCTTCACAAGTCATTTTCTAACTATTTTTGTGGTATAAACAAAACCAGCTTCATTGCTTAGAAGATAAGGTTCAAGTGCAATTTCCATTTTCCCTTACGATCCGCCCAAATCCTTTCATAAACACTATGTTTTGGCTATTAGATTAACTGAGCCCTGCTATATGTTTCCAAAGATATCACAACTGTTTTCCGTCCTTTTCAACTTACACTCACAACCATCTTTTCCTGTGACTACTTTTAATGACTCAGTTCTGCTCAGCAACTTTTTCTTCTGATGTAGAAAATGTATATGCATGTATGGGCTGTTAGGAGAGGGGATGGGAAGCAGGTTCCCTAAGGGTTTGCCTTTATTGGATTTTATTTTTATTGCTGGGTTTCATCTACGATCAGAGAGTTTCACCTATTTTTTTTCACCACGTGAGGTCAAAGCAAAAATCCTGTCTCAACAGGAAGTCAAAGGGAAATAGGAATATTACCATAGGATATTAGCCTGAAAGCATCGAGCCCCTGATGGGAGTCTTTCTGAAAATCATGATGCTGGTGAGACCACTGCACAAAACATTTCATTTTAGCATATTAGTAGAGCAACATTTCTAAAAGAGGAGGAATGCCTGCATCCCTGAGGGTTATTTAACCTCTTTAATGCATCTCTGCAGCTTACAAAATCTAAATCTACTGAGTAACTAAAAATTACCTTAACATTTTACTAGGTGTAACAGTTTATGAGTTGCATGTGTTCTGTATCATGAACAATTGTATTCAAATGCACATTTTTTTCTGTAAGTGCTATCCAAAAGCCTCAGGTGGAAAACAGAAATGAGAAAAGTATAAGCCCCATAAAGCACGAATGAAGGGAAAAAAACAAGCCCATTGAACTTTATCCTTATAGACATAACATTCAAACATGTTCTGTTAAGAAGAAAGATTCCTTACGCTCACCAGAGCAGAATGAAAATGTAAGAAGGAAAAGAACCAGGATAGATGAGCAGAAAGTATTCAGCATTAGAGAATGCTTATGAAAAGCTTTACACACAGAATAGAAGAAAAAATAAAACAGAAAAACGTTTTAAGAAAAAAATCAAATAACTTAAATCTAACTTTTCATGCGATACAGACAACGAAAATTAAAAGTCAGCTTTACAATTACAAATATTTCGGAATGATGGAGTAAGAGATGTAAGGAATTTAATTTTCAACTTAATTTTATATTTATAAATTTTATTTCCTCTTTCAGGGTTCTTGCATGTCACCGTAACTACTTCCAAATGTGTCAGCTCTACCGTGCCATCTGGTGGTCAAATAATGTCTCAGACAATCCCTTTAGCCTGACTAGATACAGTGAATTTTAAAAAACTAAAGCCAGGCATTAAACTGTTTCTCTAGGATTCAGTCTCCACCAGCAAAAGCAACGAGAAGATAATTTCTTCTCAGTGATGCCATGGAAACGCATTGTGACTTGGCTACATCAGTGTGCTTATTTTGATTTTAAAACTATAGTTCACCCCGGATTTTTAAAAACTTGTATAATTTAATAATTTTTTTTTTTTTGTTTACCACATTACCAGGTGCAAAGAGCCATTAAATTGGGTCCTTTCCTCCATTAGAAGCCTCAAAATTCATTAACTTCAAGGCAATTGAATGAGCTCACCTGAAAGTTACACTAACCTATGCCAAAAGCTACAGCTGGATTTTGTACAGAGCAGTTCTTTTTTTCCTGTTTTTCCCCTTTACTTGTAAAGTAAATAAATTATATTTACCAGTTGTCAGAAAACAGAACTTGGAAGTAAAAAGTTAGTTTTTCTAAAAAACTTGTTTGCATAATTTAAGTGACTTGAATCATGAGCTAAATTCAAGCACTGACACACGTGCGAAGGTGCTAGGTAAGTTGTGATGTTCTAGAGGTGTTGGTCTTTTGTCTATAGTTAAAATTGGTATTTCTACTTTACCTTCAACTTGTGACTCAGTTTTCTGTCCCAAGATCTATAGCAATCCCTCTCAAATTGCTAGCACTGACTTTCAGAAGGGAATGCACTCTTTGAAATTCACAAGTAGAGCTGGTATTTAATTAAAAGCTTAAAAGGGTTCTTTAAGAAGCAAACATATAGGATAGCCTTTGTCACAGCAGTCTTAAATGTCTTAATCTCCCAGCATTAACTCAACCACTCCCTATCACTCCTCTGTGATTAATTTGCACAGGACAACTGGGTTCGCTGCAATGACAACGTAGAGTGGTCAAGTGCTGAGATTTCTCAGGGGCTGACTACCTGGCAAACCATCACCGCTCTTTTAAGTATTCATTCTGCACTGTCTTGAGCAATGCTTATTGAGAACCTTTCCACAACCCTGCTACCTTGGCTATAATACATAAGTAACACAACTAAAGGAAACAGAGAAATGTGCCTTACCACAGTGACAGGGAGATGCTGGTATTATGCTCTCGCTATTTAGACATCCTCTGATATATTACACTCCTTCTCAAGTCCACAGCTATTAACAAGAAATGAAAACTGAGTACCTTGCATGCCAAAGACAAAACATCTTCCACCTTGTGCTCTGGCTTGAGGGTCAGTGCCACTCCTTGGCCGTCACAGAAGTGAACATACGTTTGTGTTTCCCAAGCACTCTCCTTCTGGATGCTCTCTGGCACTGAGCAATAGACATTCAAAAAGTCATCGACTTGCTGCTGGAAACAAGGGAGAAACGTACAACATATGTGGATGTTGCAAAAAACCCACAAAAGTACAATTACACTGGCAGTTTGCAGTGGATATATATTTAGACACGGTACTGTGTATTTCCCCATGGCAAGACAGGGACAAAGTTCTGTTACCTGCTCTCATTCACTATCAAAGACTTGATTTTCTTGAGAACGGATTGCACTTCCTCTGCATTCCCATTACGGGCTTTTATGCCTTTACCTGATATTAATTGTTGATTTAACTCGAAGTGAAAATATGCAGCTACCTGATATTATACTGCAGTGCGAATAAATTATTAAGAAGAACTGACTACTACAATTTTACCTAATTAACAAATGCAAAAAATCCAGAATTACTGTAATTTTGACAGAAAATGATAATATAGTAAACTTCCAGCAGAGAGCACTGTGGAGCAAGGCTTGCCATAACATAATAAAGGACTAAAGCAGGAATAAAGTGTTCCTATTCTATTTACAGTTTAAGAACATACTGTTTCACAGGTAGCACAGGGTATTTGCCTGTTTACCATTTTGCTTCACATTCACCCTCGTTCCAAAGCCACTCCGCTTGATCAGATAACAACATCCACCCTGACTAAATTCTGTGTCTTTTTCTCACCCTTCATTTTCACGCTTTCTCCCTTACTGCACTTCAGGCTACACGTTTCAAAGGAAGTCACACAAGGAGAAGAAAAACACTGAGAGCTGTTCAGAATTTGGAGTTTCACCTATATTAATTGGGTCTCCCTATTCAGCACTTCACTTAAATACCCACATCAAAGCATTTGAGTTTACGCAGATAGGGTCCCTCAATTCCCCTTACAGTCAATGGAAAGGCACAATAAAGTGGCAGAACTGCCACCCAAGACATATCTTAAGATACCCTGAGCTGTTCTAAGGAGTGCCTACCTCCCTAATGCTTTTTCTTTGCATTTTTGGTTGGTTGGTTGGTTGGTTGGGTTGGGTTGGGTTGGGGGGTTTTGTTGCCTACCTAAAGCCCCTTGATTATGCAATTCTTCCTCCTGGCTCTGCAGGGACACAAGCCCAGGGGTGCGCTGCAATTAAAAGCTGCAGTAAAATCACTGCACAGGGACTGCTTCCCTTGCTGCAGGCAGCAAAGTTACTGACAACAATCTACCAGTAGCAACAGAGAGACCAATATTATTTTGTTTTTCCAAATAACAACCCTGGCTGTGAAAATGATGTAGTAAGCAATCCTATTTAGGTAATTATCAAACAATGCAGAAATTCAGGTTGCAGCTGACCCAGAGTATGGCACAGTACTAATCTGATGCCAGAGTAACACTGGTTTGGGCGGAATAATATTAATGAACCAATGGCGTTCACAAATCTTCTATCTCTTGCTCAACTGTCCCTTTTAACTAGTTGAAAATGAAATTTCAATTAACACAGGTCCATGGAAATCCTACTGAAATCCAGCAACTACTATACATAACAGGAATCCTGTCATGCTACTGCAATTAATGGAGCGATGAAATCTACACCAGGTGAAGTTTCACCTCGGTGGCTGTGGTTCCAGACTGCTTGTAACACTGGTGGTGTTGAAGAAGATAATTCCCATAGAAGCGTGGTTCTCTCAGAAAGCACTAGATCAAGTGCCTGGGAATAAACGCTGACCTCCTTCCACAGTGTAAATAACAGAAAGGAGAAAGGGCAAGGCAGGCAGGC